GTAATAGTGGATACTCTTTAGGAATAAAAGTGAACATCCCTAATAGATCACTTGTGAACAGATACATTTCTTTGTCTAAAGTTTGGGCACTCTGTGCATTGATCAGGTCTGATATAATTGGATAAAACGTTCCTTTTCTTTATTTGACATTCTGATGTTGTATCAGAGCATAAGCCGAAGAAAGAGAAGGACATGCTTGTAAACATTGGTTGGTGTGAGAATTCTCCCTCGCCCCAAGCTCTTCAGTTAAGTACAGCTTGCTAAACTCTAAAATGCTCCTCGCAATGTGGTAAAATCCATCAATACTCACTGGAGAAAACTATTTGGTCTCAGATGACTTAATTCAACTGGATTCAAACCAAGAAGTCCTGGCAGAAAGCACACTCTTAACCAATATTCATGGTTGTGAGAGCAAGCAAACTGGGCCATTCCTTAAAAGCTTGCTGCAGGGAAAATTCAAAACTCTAGTCTTTCTTTCATTGTATTCCTTCTTTCTGTCCCACTGCTTGCAGGAACATCACCCACAATTGTATTTTTTTTTTAAATCAAGTTGTTCTCAGCGCGAAAGGTTTTTTTCCTCCTCGGAAAAGAAAATTTTACTATTAAGTTTCATGACTTATTGAAAATGTCCAGATAGGAAAAAAATGTTTTTCATTAGTTAGAAGAAAAAGGTTCCTACCTGAACAATACAAATTGAGTTCTATGCTTTACATTTCAAAATTTCAGTCAAATGGGTAATCCATGGATCCTAGGGCTCTGATCAATTTATCTACAAGTGATGTACATCTAATCTGCTAAAGCTATTAATCCTCAGGTACTTTACATGCAGAGATATAAATTAGCATTAATTAAAAAACTGCCAGTAACCAAATTCATATATAGTAGTTTGTAAATTTTGAAAGGGTTGTATGTTCTTGGTTTGCTTGGATCTCAGAATGAATCACCCATATAAAGTGACTAGATCTCCAGCAAAGCCTAGGAAGCAATTGGATTCATTATGAAGTGAAATATTTTCAGTAGTTTTACTCTGAGTTCCAGAACCTCTTAGGAAATCTGGACTCTGCAGCCTTCTCCAATACCCAAGGGAATGGGGTGGATAAGAATTGGTAGTTTCCCTGTAAGCAAGAGGATGTCTGTCTCTAGCAGCAAGAGGTGGGTGAGGCTTTGGTGATCCTGTGAAAGGGGCAGAAAGGTGGGAAGTTGCTCAGGTTTCAGTTCTAGGGGCTCAGTTTTCCTGTCCTGTCCACGCCTAGCTGGCTGAGTTAGGCCTCTCCTGGCCAGAAGTTACAGACACTGGGAATTGTTACCAAGAATTCAGGGGTAACTCAGGAATCCGAGGCAGGCAGGACGTCACAGTGACTGGAACCAGGCAGTAGGGAGCTGCCTCTCGGGAGCCGTTCACTCTCCTCGCCTGGCTTCTCTGCGTGTCTGCTTTATTTCTCCCTCAGACGGTGGCACAGTTGTCTGCACCGCGGTGTGGTCTCCAGTTTTAGAATTTCATCTTTCTGTTTAACGAATACTGACTGGGGGGGTCTTTGAATCCAAATTCCCAAAGAGGAAGCATTTGATGAGTCCAAATTTGGTCAGGGGTCCAGCCAAGGGCCAATTAGCCTTGGATGAGGGCTCAAATATGGCTGCCAACTTCCTCCCCCATTCCTGTCCCATTCCATGGGTAAGACAGTGGATGGGGGAGGAAGGAAATTCTCTGGTATGAGCAGTGTGAGATGGCAGACCTTGCAAAAGGTCCTAATACATTCCGTCACTTTGAGAAAAATCACCTCACATTTCAGAGCCCCAGTTTTCCTCCTTTATAAAATGGAGATACAACTACTTGCTTCCCAGAGTTGCTGCAGAACCTTCATACAACAATTTTAAAACAAGTCGTTAACTCTGGGAACATCTTAAAATGTGAGACTTTACTCAGTCAAGAACAACGTTCATCGACTCGGTATTTATTGAGCAGTCACTACATGTAATTTTCAATACAAAAGTCAACAGTAAAGATAAATTCTGGGAATAGAATGTATTTTAGTAATAAAGAGAGGAAGTATTGGAGTCAAACAGACCTGGCTTACATCATCCTCTACCAGCCATCAATTGTGTGGCTTTGGGCAAGTTTCCATTCTCTGAGCCTCAGTTTTCTCATCTGTAAAATGGGAACACTTCTTTCTATTACAGCCTACCCGGCCTACTTGATTGAGCCTCTGCCCACCTCTCCCAAGTTAGCCCCTGCCCTCGGACTCTCCAGCCACGCTGGCCCCCCAGTGGCTCCTCCCACGTGCTGACCATAGGCCTGACTCAAGGCCTCTGCAACAGCTATTTCCTCTGTCTGGAATTTCTCGAACTTGAGCAGGCAAGCTCCTTCTTTTCTCTCAGGTCTCTGCACAAACATCCCCTTCTTCGGGTAACCATATTACCTAAATAGGCCATGCCCCTATACCACCCACAATGCTCTTCTCTCTCCAGAGCACTTAGCACTCCCTAAAAATATGTGTTTCTTTGATTTCCTGTTATCTCCCTCCCCTACTAAGATATAAGTTGCATGATTAAGGGGCTTTGTTGTTTGGGGTGTTTTTTTTTTTAAAGATTTTATTTATTTATTTTTAGAGAGAAAGAATGGAGGGAGAAAGAGAAGGAGAGAAACATCAGTCTGTTGCCTCTTGTACACACCTGGACCAGGGACCAAACCTGCAACTCAGGCATGTGCCCTGACCAGGAATCAAACTCCCGACCTTTTGCTTTGTGGGATGATGCCCAACCAACTGAGCCATGCTATAGTCCCAGATCTTGCACAATGCCTGATACTATGTACATACTGTGAAATGCACAGATGATGAGAGGCTACTTCACAGGGCTGCGGGGAGGAGATAAGGTGATTCAGTTAGCCCGTACAAAGTACGGGGCACACATCTGGCATGGAGTGAGGACTTCCACTGGGCTGAAGAGTGTTCCCCCAAAACCCATGTCTACCCAGAGCCTGTGAATGTGGCCTTATTCAGAAACAGATTTTGCAGATGTCATCACGTTACATGAAGTCCTCCTGGGTGAGAGTGGACCCTTATCTGATGACCGGTGTCCTTACAAGGGTGAGATTTGGACACGGAGTCACACAGGGAGACCAGGGGACAGCAGAGGAAGAGACTGGAGCGATGCCGCCATGAGCCAAGGACTTCCACACCCAACAGGCTGACAAGAAAGATAAGAAGGGAGGATTGTTGTCTTCTCACAGGAAGAAACTGAGGCCACAGCCACTGGCAGCTAGATGTGCCTGCTCTTCCCAGAAGATAAAATGCGTTGTCTGAATATTACAATTCTTTGACCTTATGCTGCATGTACCATGTTTTGCTTTGCCTTCCCCCGCTTCCCCCTACTAATCGTGAGAAAGGAAAACTGAAGATCAAATTTGGGAGACACATCACTCAAGTGAATTCATGGCAGAACATGTTTCTTCAATGCAAATAAAGCACAGGTCCTGACCTACTACAACTCCAGCTTTTGAAACTAAACCACCGGTTTGGTCCCAGTGACTAAATGACAGCAAGGATGCCGAGAGGCACCTTCTTTCCAGGACCGGGCAGCTGTGTATGACACAGCTGGGTTGGGACAACAGCTCCGTGGAACAGCTGCTTCTGTAAATTAAGTGGAAAATGGTATCTCCTAAGAGTTTCATTGCTCTCTCTCTGCCCCTTCGATCTTGCTCTCCAGACGGGTTTGGGAACGAGAGCAGAGACTAAGGCGTGAGGGAGACGAAATCATCCTTGAAAGCTACATTCCAGAGTCTCCCTAGACTGAAAGCACAACTCAGTAAACAAAGTAGTGGCAGGTGTTTGCTGACAGTCATTTGTGTAACCAAATGCTTAGTAGCCTTTGAACAGGCGACCAAGAATCGCGCAGCCTTCTGCGACAAACGGAAGACAGAAGGACTGAATTGCAGTTTTTTGCTGGCCATCAGCTAGGCGCAATTTGCTGCCTCTCGCCCTTCGGGAGAAAGCGTAGAGGCCCTCACGTGGGATCTCAGCGTCCCTGGAAGTAGATTCTGGAGGCTGGAGGGAACACCAGCCCCGCAGGTCGTTTCCTTCGCTGCTCTGCAGAGATGCCGGCGGCAGGCGGAGGTGCGGTGAATGTCACATCCACCACCCAGTCCTTCAGCACCTTGTTCTCTTCGGGTCTAAAGGTCCCGAAAGATTTTGTTCTGTCTTTCCTGCGCCATTGTGCAAATAGAGGCAGAGAAGGGAAAAAAGTAGGAGGAGGGGCAAGCGTCATCTTTCTCAAAGCAGAAAACCGAGAGTCGCGTTTTCTACGTTTGCGTTTAAAAGTGTTTCCCCAGTTGCCGAATCACAAGGGCAGGGGGCAGGGACGCGGAGAATGACTCGGGTCTACTTTTAATCTCCTCAGCTCTTGAGCAAGGTCGGGGGAGTTCAGCCTTGGGCAAAAGGTTGCATCACGCAGAGTATGGGACGAACTTGGGGATGTTTTGCCTAGACGACTTCTCTTGCGGGAAGAGGTCAAACGCGAGAGCAGAGGGCTGGCTGCAGGGGGTCCGGGGGCGGAACGGGAAATCTGACCTCACCTTGAGCTCAGAAGTGAAAGGAAGGTGACTACGGCCGCGGCCGGCACTCGGCGGGCTGAACTCCCGCAGGTTCACACGTGCTCCGCCGCTCCCCATTAGGTGGCACGTCTGCACCAGCCGGGAGTGGGTGGAGGCGCGGCCGTGCGGGGAGAGGGGCGGTTTAGACACCTGTGCTCCTCCGCCCACTCCGGGCCTGACAGACGCCGGGCAGCGCCCGAGCCGGAGGGGAAGGAAAGGTGGGCGGACGTGCCCGGCGACGGGTGGAGGAGCACACCTGGGCTTCCGCGCGCAGGGCGGGGGCGGGCGCTAGGACCCGAGCGGCGCACCTGTTGGCGGGCTCCCCGGGCCCCGCCCGCCCTCCTCCCCGAGTGCTAGGCAGGCTGGTGCAGGGACGAGGGAGGGTGAGATCCGAGGGCCCTGGCGCGGCAGTGGCAGCGGCGTCCCAGGCGCACCATGGCCGAGCTGCTGCGGAGCCTGCAGGATTCTCAGCTCGTCGCCCGCTTTCAGCGCCGCTGCGGGCTCTTCCCGGGGCGGGAGGAAGGCTCCCGAGACCACAGCGCGGGCCTCACGGAGGGCGTGGCGCGGGCGCCCGGGGTCGGTCACCACCTCGCGGCCAACGGCAAGAGCGCCGGGGGACCGGCCAATGGGCTGCGCAGAGTTCCGGCCCCGCAGGTAATCGCGGGCCAGGTATTCGTGGGGGTGGGGGGTGGGGGGTGGGGGGTGGGGGTGGGGGTGGGGGAGAGGGAGGCCCACTCCGCTTCCTGCCGACTTGCTGGTCCAGGTGACTCCGGGACGCGGAGACGCGCGAGCGCCGAGCCTGCCCGGCTCAGAGGGCGCCATCCCCCGCGGCGACCCGGGAGGGGAGGGGGACTTCGGGGTCCGGTCACCAGGATGCCACACTCTAACGCTGCGAGGTGGCAGCCAGGTCTAGTCAGACTTCAGATGCCCCCAAAGCTTTAAATGCAGTCTATCTAGAGACTTTCTACCTTTGTAAGAAGTTAAATTTATGTACATGTATCTTCTCCCAAATGTGTAAGGGTTACGTAATTGGAAAACGGAAAGGAGATGTCCTTGGCATTTTCATGACAGCCTTCCCTGGAGAGAAATCCTGAGAGCTCCCCCAGGATTCATGAGTTTCCGCCCCTTCCCCCCCCCCCCCCCCACGCTTTCCCGATCCACACTAGCGGGATCAATGTGCCCTTCGCCTTTCTGCACCTCCGGCTCTGAAGACAGAACTTCGGGTTTAAATGTTGCTACCAGAAAGACTTACACACACTGCCCCTCACCCCGCCGTTACCTGTCCCTCCCTCCCGCCAGTGATGAGGTCCTAACAGCGCGTCACCCCCCGCCCTTCCCCGCGAGCTTCGGGGGCCCTCCTGCCTGGTAGGACTTGTGTTAACTGGCCCCAGTGACTTCTAACAGATGCTGTCAGGAGGGAAGCTCACCACGCTCCCTCCTAGGTGTTCAGAGTGTGGTTATACAACCCACTGCGGCTTTGGGAAGCCAGCGTGTGTTGTCGCAGTGCACAGGGACTCCGGGAGGGAGGGACCAGACAGGCTGCGGAGGCTAAGGTGCCAGGGCGTCTGTCGGCCAGGGAGGAGGGCTCCCCCCGGGGGGGAGGACTCTCCGCCGCAGTGGGATGCCCTGGGCACCCACGGAAACTGGCCTTTCCCTGGGAGAGGTGGAAAGTGTGGCCCAGCGGACAGAAGCATGGTATCAACAATCCCAATTCTCCCCTTTTGGGGGTGGAGGGTGGAGAAAGCCCCATTTTCTTCTTTCTGGAAGTTTTGGTATCAGGAAGGTGCCATTTATATGTGTCGATTTCTAGTAACTGAGGACCTGGCTTCTGTGCGGAGCGGAATTTTGTGGGCATTGAATTACAGAATTTGAGATGGTGGCGGGGAAGGAGGTTTGTGTGTTCCACTCTAGAGAATCCTCCTCTGTAATATGGTTTTCTCCTTTTATTTTTCCTTCTCTGTCCCACATGATAGCCAATGACTTTCCGATGAGTTTGGGACAGCCCTTCCTCTTGCCTTGTCTTAGAAATGGGGCAGAGTGGGGAGATTAGGATCACTGCCTTCCTGAAATGTGGCAGGGCATTTTCTGTGCACCCGCTGTTGAGACCCCCAGGCAGACGCCTGGGCTGCTTTTTCTTGCTCTCTCTTGAAGCTTCTGCTCTGTGTCCCTAATTCAGAAAGCTGAAGGAGAGTGCATTTTTCCACTGGTGCATTTCAGACTGTTTTAACCATCACCTCTGATGATGTATTCTGGAAAAGATTCCTCTTGCCCTTTAAAAAACATGATCAGCAGATTTCTTGCAGTGAGCGGCATTTTTTTTTTTTTATGTTGTTGCTTGAAGAGCCTGATTATTCACTGAACCAAATGCAAGGAGTTTCCCACTTCCCCTCCGACACACAATTCACTCACTACAGAGCAGGAAAAAGTAAGAGCAGGCTGAAGATTCATGATAAGGAATCACCATGGTGATGTGTGGTGGTGGGGAAAAACACGAGAGCATTTGATAAATGAGAGGTTTGCAAATATTTTTAAAGATGGGTTGGTTTCCAGTGACTTGGGAAGATTGATCTGCAAATACAGGTGGAGCTCCCAAAAGAAAGTGATTGCATTCCTGCCCCAGAGATTTGACAGGACTCTATGGGGACAAGTGAAGAAACACCTGTTTTCTCCAACAGCTGTCCTTCCCCTTGGCCTCTGGCCTTTGCGCAGCCTGGGGCCTGCCGCAGCTGCCTGTCCTTTCTCTAAATAACCCCACCCATCCTTCAGCATCAAAGGTCAGTTCCTCAAGAGACACCTTTGCTCACCTCCCATCCTCACCCTGCTCTTATAGGCTCTCTTTGTTTCTTGTGTTTCTTTATTACAGCATTTATCACACTGTCTTAATAAACCCTTTTTTTAATCCAAAAGAAAGAGAGAAATATCAATCAGTTGCCTCCCGTACATGCCCCGAGCTGGGATGGAACCAAAACCTAGGTATGTGCGTGTCCGGGGATGCTCCCCACAACCTTTTGGTATGTGTGAGAGCTCTCCAACCAGCTGAGCCACCCGGCCAGGGCTGAATACACCTTTGTGTGGAGACCTGATTGTTGCCAGTCTCCTGCAGTGGAAGGTAAGGTCTCAGAGTTCGGGGAGCGTGTCTGGTGTGCTCTTCATTCCTTGACACCCGCACCCGACTCCACCCTTGTGGCCTGCCACGTGGGGGCTCAGTGGATTTTGTGAGTAAATGAGTGTGGATTGCAGTATAAAATCAGCCCTTTAACGCAAGACAAGGATTTCCTGCAGAGAAGTGTCCTCTTGCTGCGTGGAGAGCCTGGGCCTTCAGTCAGCCAAATGGTAGGGGTTTCCTTCTTCGCACCCAGCACACAACCGTATTCACCAGGGAGCAGGAAAAAGGGAGAGAGGGCTGAAAATTCAAGACAAAAAAAGGAAGATTTTTTGGGGTGGGAGATGGGGGTGAGTGGGGCAGGGAAAGTGGTGGCGGAAAAATGGAGACAACTGTATTTGAACAATAAAATCATAAGTTAAAAAAACTAAAAAAAAATTGAAGATTTTTTAAAACTTAAGAGTAAATATTGAAAATCAAATTTTTCCACATAGCCTAGAAGTCAGGTAGTACTAGGACATTGATTTAAGACCTTTCAAACAATAAAGAAGTTTTCTTCATCTGAGTGACTTTAGATTGTAACAAACCTAATTTTATCAACTCCCTCATTTTCTATATTTAATTCTTAAAACAGGCCAGGTACAGAAATGATTGAATAAGGACTTTCCTTCACAAGCTCTCTTAACACTGCACACTGCTGGCTTAAAGAATAACTACGTCTTTTACAAATCAGAGCTGGGCTTGGCTTGTACAGGACTGTCATTGAATAAGTCAGACAGGACTTCAGGTATGTCCCGATAGCCATGCGTTTCCCAGAGTTTTGAGTCCTGAGGTTCCATGCTCTGTTGACTTGCCAAGTGCCCCCACAGCCAGATCTTTCAACTCTCAAGTCTAAACTTTTTCTACTGTCCATCTTCCAGAGAGAAATTCAGTGGCTTCGCTTACTCAGCCTCATTGAGAAGATGTGAAGTGTTGGTGCTCTGTTGGGAGCAGAGTGGCGACTGGGTAGACAGAGACATTTCTTTTGGTGTACAAGGATAACTATTGAAGGACATTCTTGGCAGCGGCCAAGAACAAGAGACAGAGATTCTGGGATGGAGCTAAGAGTGCAAAGGCCCAATTAAAATTGTGTTTATTTGTTCTGGGGTAGAGCCAGCTTTGGATATAGTGATGATATTTTGATTTTTATCATCTTTGCTTTCGCAACACAGTTGCATTAAGTTAGACTTTGCAGTGTCTTTTCTCATCATATGAAACTGGAGATAATCTTTACAAAGAACACTGTGCTTAAGGAATACTCTTTGGTAGCTGTTTGCTGAGACATAGTTCTAAAGTTTGGTTGGAAAAGAGGGAATCAAAGATAGGTTGTTTGTAGAAGTTCTTTGCTCTCCTCTTTCCCACTTGAAACATGTAGGTCCCTCCAAGTCTGTCAGCCTACAAAATCCCACCCTTGACTTCATGGGCTCTCTGCAGCACAAAGAACCATCACAGGAATCCAGGGATCTGGAGCCAGCTCTGCCTCCATGTCATTTTGAACTCCTCTGGGCCCCAGTTGTCCCATCTGCAAAATGAGCAGAGTGGAATAGAACCATGGATTCCTAACAGTGGCTGTAAATTACAGTCAGAGGAGCATTAAAAGCCAAACAAGAAAACAATGTCCGGGAGACAGGTCAGAAGTGGGGCCCAGAAAAGCTGTCAGACAGGTGACAGCTCTGAATTCTCTTGTCCTGGAACCCATCACCCTTAGTGTGTTCAGGACGGAGGTGACCAGAGGCAGCTGCCATGGGGGCTGTCACATTTTGGCTTGATTATAACTAAAATGACCAATAGGTTGAACTTCAGATGAATGTTCAGGTTCGAAATGGTAAAATAAGCCATTTTGAAAAGATATATTTGATCCTTTTTTTCTAGTTACAGATACTGCTCAGATTAGAAAACTTGGAAAAATACAAAGAGAAAGTTAGATCCATACCCATTGTACCACTACCAAAGATAATGACTCAGTAAATAGTAAACCAGATCCTTAATGAGTATACCTTATCCATAGCATGGAAATTCCAAAATTTAGTTGGCCTTTGTTTCCAGCTTTCCACTAAAATAACATCTTTGTTCAAGTATCTTTCTACGTATCTTGAATGTTTTTAAAATTGAAATATAATTGACATATTATATTAGTTTCAGGTATACAACATACTGATTTGATATTTGTATGTATTGTGAAATGATCACCACACAGTTACAATTTTTTTCTTTTGATGAGAACTTTAAGATCTACTCTCCTAGCAACTTTCAAATGTACAATGCAGTATTGTTGACTATAGTCACCATGTTGTATATTAATCACATTTCTATGACTTATTTATTTTATAACTGGAAGTTGGTATCTTTTTACCAACTTTACCCATTTCACTCTCCCTCCCAACCACCAATCTGTTCTCTGTATCTGAGTTCAGTTTTGTTTATTGCTCTTGTTTTTATGTGTCACCTATAAGTGAGATGACACAGTACTTGTATTTCTCTATCTGTCATGTCACTTAGCATAGTCCTCGCA